TTCGGAAAAAAATTTCGACGTTGCTATACCCTCCAGGCGGATTTATTCTGGAGGACGTTTTAAAAGAATTTCTTTAACGTTAGCCAAACTCAATGACGTAGAACGTTAATAGATGCGAAAGTTCCTATTGAGGTACTGATATACAGAAAATGTTCAATTTTCAGTCCCTAGCGACGCTTTTCACAAGTGTTCAGAGGTGACACCTGGGCGGCGACGCCCGCACCACGACCTTTCCAAGGCGGCACACAGAGAGCGCTTCCCTCGTGAATTTAGAGAACTGTGAAGAATTTGGGAATCCGTCGATTAACGTGGGATCGTACGTGGAATTCTTAATGGTTCGATCCGAGAAACGTCCATCTTCAAGGGCCCCATAGACCACAGACAGGCCTTAGGCCTAGCGAAATTTAAATATTCCAGGAATAAAATTTCCTGCTGGAAGTAGGCGGACTGTTCGAGAATTCTCCGCAGGAAGCTGAAATGAGTCCAGTTGGACTTCTCTAAATTTCTAACGGGAATATTCAGTTTAACCAGAGGGAAAGTGCCAACGGGAAATGCTAGTTTGGGGAGCTTGCTGGAATTTCTCATCTTGCATCATTATGGCAAGTACTTGATTGCAGGCCTCGAATGTTTTGTGCTGTGAAACTCATTAAGAAAAACTACACATTTGATTGATTTTTTTTTTTGTGGCTCCTAGGATTTAACGAAACCGCCGAAGACATTACTGTCTCAAGTGAATAAGTGCAATGGGTTTGCAGGCATGGATACAAAATCGAATGAATTCCCAGGCGATAAATAAAATAAATAAAATAAGATGCTTACCGTCTAGTACACGTTTCCACGGGAGTTCCACGGCCATGAAATTCCGTCCATTTCGGTATCGGTGATCGGGAGATCTTGCTTTGGCAACTGGACTAGACCGATGCGAGAAACCATCAAGTCAAACTTAAAAGAAAATGGTGGCAAATATTTCATCTAGACGGCACATACAATCGGAGGCGGCTTCTTCGTTCTCCCCCAACAGGTGGAATAAGAATTCAATCCAGAAACAGTGTATGTATGACATTATGTTCGAAAGTGGGAGAATGCTGGGACTGGAACATTTGTCCCACGAATCAATTTTTTTTGTTACCCTAAAACGTGAATTTCTCGGAGGTTAGCATGTTCAAGAGAGGTGAGCATTTTTTTTTTCACTAAAGGCGTGCAAGATAGACGAGTCTGCCATCACTTCCGACGAAATCGAAGACGCCCAAATCCCCTCTTCCGGCCTGCTCCGGTTCGTTTGAAATGCTGCCCTGGTGGCCCATCAGTTTCAGTTTCGTTAAGGGGGCTGTCATGCCCAATAGAGGCTGGCCTGATCCTGCTGTTCGTTCATGGGTCGTCTTGTCGGGCTTAAAGGACTTTTGGCAAGTGCCCGGACCCTTCCCAAAAGTCAGGTTTAAAGTCGCTTTAAAGTTGGCAAAACTCTTCTTGCAGGGCAGAAAAATAAAATGTTCAAGGTTTTCGAGAAGCAGGTTTTAGTAGTAAAAAAAAAAGTATGGGAGCCAATCCGATTTCGGGTCTGCTCATAGGCCGAAGTTTGAACCTTGTATGAGTGTTTTTGTTCTCTCTGCAGGCAATGATAATATAGGCCTAGGCCTAACTTGCTTTGGACTGGCCCATTTCGAGTTTGCTGCAGCAATTTTTTTTGTTGCTTAGGTGATTCGCTTTATATATTCCAAAAAAGCCCATTGTTTCACAGCTGGAAATTTGTGTCATTGTGACCTGTCACATTGATTTCTCAGGCTCTGAGAGTCAAGTATTTGCCTCTGTTGATGATAACTGCTACAAATATTAGAATCAGGGCCCAAAATCCAAAGGAGATGTGTCCACTCTTGAATAGTGCAGCTGATCAAGAGTCCAGGAATCTTTTGAGCGTATCCATCTTTCATGTTGGCAGTCCCAAATGATTACAGATTGAATCAGAAGACAGTGCAAGTTCCAAGACCTTGAGCACTTTGTGTACTCTTTGTGTACTGATATACAGCTCTTTGTTAAAAGTCTGTTATTTGGTACAATTAAAATCCTATGGTGACAGAGACCGTTTGCCCATGATAGTAATTGATCACCAGCAAACCGGACTTCGCTGGTAATATGGTTTTCTGTATCTATTTTAAAATAAAATTGATTTAAAAGACAGGCTTCAATACTGAAATAACACAAAAAGGAAGTAAAAGTAATTGCTATTGTAACTGGTTTTATCAGAATTCCCATGTCAGTTCAAGGCCTAAAAATGGAGCCATCGCCTACGTCTCCCAGATGTTGCCCGCAGCCCGCTAACGTGGACAGGGATCCAGATGATTTTAAAATTCATTTTCCAGATCCAGAGCCAGTCTGCATCAGCGCTCTTCTCCTGAAATTCCAGCAATTTCCAGCAAGACCAATCCAGCTTCCATCTTGGAGTGGAGTAAATTTTAGAAGGTGCCCTCATGCTTCCAGCCGGAGAGCGACAATTTCCAGCGAGAAATTTCCTTCATCCAGCTGGAGATATTATGGTCTGTGTCTGGAAACACCCAGCTTTATCCATCAGGAAAATTCCAGCTTGGAATAGCGTATCAATTTACGACCTAAGCTAAGACAGCTAGGATCCAGCTTGGATTTTTCCAGCTGGATTGATTGTTACTTATAGCAGGAATTTTTTCCCTGGGATGAGCTTGACCCAAATAAAAAAAATCTAAGCTTAACCAGAGAGCATAAGCGTTGCGTGGATAAAAAAAAGTGTGTGTGTGTGGGGAGGGGGGGGGGGGGGGGGCGAGGAACTCTTTGATACTGTCAGTGCCATAACAAGGGGTGTGCGAGCGGTGCCCCCGCACAGGGTGCCGATTGGCTGCCAAGTTATTTAAAAAAATAGCGTCGGAGGGGGCACGTGCCACCCTTGCTCCCCCCCCCCCCCCCCCCCCCCCCCCCCCCCCCAGGGGGGGGGGGGGGGGGGGGGGGGGGGGGGGGGAGCGAGGAACTCTTTGATACTGTCATTGCCGTAACAAGGGGTGTGCGAGCGGTACCCCCGCACAGGGTGCCGATTGGCTGCCGAGTTATTTAAAAAAAATAGCGTCGGAGGGGGCACGTGCCACCCTTGCTCCCCCCCCCCCCGACGCTACGCCACTGCCAGAGAGCACTGTGAGAAACAGCTATTCCTCGTCTAAGGGGTCGAATGACCGCGTTAGATTGGATTATTTTATCCAATCATTTATTAGGCGTTGAATCAGATTAAGCTGGAAGAGTAACTGGCCGCTACTGACATATCTCCGTTTCTTCTGCGATCGGCCCTTTAGCAGTGACACAGTTGCATGCCCTTCCCCAATGATGGAAATGGGATGTATTATATGAACCTAAGTTCATTGTATCATGATACGACACGATACAATGGGTAACGAGGCTGAGCATCTCTGCGACGCCAATCGACCTTGGGAGACTCGAGCTCGTCGGTATCGCTAGAAGACTGGAATGAGAATGAGGTTTGGCACGCGGAAGTCCTTGCAGCGGGAGATGTCTGAACCCATCTGCCACAGATAGCCACTTGCCCTCAGCATGATCGCATTCTGTAATCACGGGAGAAGCATAAACAAGAGAATACCGCTTATGAAGTCTTTAGATTTTGGAGGAAGTAAAGGTGACAAAATAAAAAGGAACGAAAAATAAGTGGACTGAACACACTGGACGTTATGGCAACCCTGTTGCAGTTATGTCGGCGGGCTCTGTTGTCTCTTAAAGGCGCCGTGATGGTGTCTATGAAACACCTACGGAACACCTTGGCCGCATGATGTATTCTTTAATGGCTGAATGGAAGGTGTAGGCCTATATTGAGTAAACCCTAGCATGAGTGCTATGCTTCAAGTAAGGGATATTATAACGTTTTTGAAACCGTAAGGTTAAGTTTGCTTCCGTGAAGCTTGGTAGTCACCACAGGCCTAGCCTTACTTCAACAGAAAGTACTGGCACTCTAATGTATAAGCACCCGCCTTTCCCCTCCTGCTCCCATTCATATCGCGCCTATGGACCGTCATTATATTGCAATACCCTCTTTAGATACTTGATTCATTATATAGTGAAGCCTCATTTACATGTATAGTTCATGGCCAGTTTTCCTCACTTGGGATAGAGATGATCCCGCAGGAGCGCAGAAGTTGAGCGGACATCCCATATTGATTGGAAATAAAGTAAACTGTACTGTGTTTGGACATATGCCATGTAGGCATTGGAGTAACAAACCAATGATAATAGAGGAAGGGATGTATGCAAGATCTGCTAGCATTGGTGCTTTGTTCTAAAGTTTTCTGGCTTTATCAGGATATAAAGTGTGATTCATTTCTGGTATTCCACATGGACCAGTTAAGCTTGAGGCCTTCATTCTCTCTTTCCTGAAATGGAAGAATGTTACTTATATGATACACCTGAAGTGTCCTTTCACTGGGAGACTGGGCCCTCTGGCAATCTGGCACTGACTCTTGGTCACTAATGCCTATTATGCAGATTATTCTGTCTAATATGGTAACATTTCCCCTCATGTTCCTTTGATCTGTATTCTGAGTGGCTCTCAGTAAAATATTTTCTTGCCATCTCCTTTCATACAGAGACACTAACCACAGAAGAAAGTTGTAGTTTCCATTCTGGGGCCATTTTAGCAGGAATTGCATTAAGTAACAATCACTACCTGCAAACACTGCATGCTGTCATATAGCAACATTTTCTTGGCTGGGATTAAGGGCAACAGGCCTGTGAAGATGAAATTCTGTTATTAATGTAAATGAAGGACAGAAGTAAATGGCCTGAAATGGATGTTTGTGGAGTTATGTATTTCCCTCTTTTTTCTAAAAGGCAAGTCTGTTTGTTGAAAAGCTCCTAAACAAGCTACATGTCTTTCTCAGAAGTGCATTTGTTATTATTTATTCAATAGATTAGATCTGATTTATATGTGCATAAGTAACATTTTTTTACTGAAAACCTAGCTTAAAGTTTAATTTTGCCATTCATTATCGTTCCATTTAGATTTTTATGAAGCTGAATCTGTGAGAATGAGGAAGCTGACTGGCAGAGTCAATTTTCCTCATGAAAGTCCTAATTGATATTGTTGGGGGCGTTTTGCCCTCTGATACATAGCCTTGGTACAAATTGCTTACACATTGAAGACAATGTCTGCTGATATAAGCAGCAGCGTAGATAGCAATTGGCAGAAGACCGGTATCTTTTCCTGGGGACTGGGCCTACAGCTGCACAGTTTTGCTTTGGACAATCATCTGGATGCCAAAGGTTTGACTTAGGATTTATGATATTAATTGACCACATTATGCTCAAATGCATCTTGGGCATATCATATTGGTTTAAGCCTTTATTCTTGCAAAGGATATAACTAGGCCTAAGCTTAGATTCAATGGCAGAGGAATGAAGATGTTAAAAGATGGTCATGGATTCATAGCAATTGAGGCAGCATGGAGAGGCATAAAGAGTAGAGGCAAACAGTTGGGCAAATTTCATGGCATTGCCACTGCTATTATCCCATCCAATCATATTAGCATAGATCAATGCGGTCTTCACTGAAGTTGGAATCCCTCCTTGGCTATCTGTTGATACAGGATTGCCCTGAGCAAGTACTAGTCCTGGCATTTCCAGGACATTATGAATCTTTTTTTTTTTTTTTTACAAGGACAGGCTGGAATATTGCTACAAGCTTGAATCCACTTAAGATTTTTTCCATATTTTTGTTTCTAATTTGAAGCATTCTGACTGCCCTCTGCTAACTGTTATACCATCTCCCACAGACAACATTTTCTTGTCTGTGACTGACTGAATTTAGCTGAATGATGTGAAGTTGATTTTTTTCCCTTTGTCATTAGTAAAAGATAATTTTAGCACAAGCAAGTAATTGTCATTTCATGAGAATTCAGTTATGTTAAATAAAAAAACTATTGGCCTGCAATATGGGCTATTTTCGCTACAAACTTACACTCCAATGTTCTCCAACAAAGGTTTTTTTTCATGTGAACTATTTCTATAATGTAATATATTCTAAACTACTACATATTCAACTTTGTGAACTTAATCCCATGAACTTAATCTCAGCATTTATTTTTTAGAGGTGGTAAGCCAACGTGAGGGTGAACTCCTGAATGCAAGTTTATCTCCAGATGGATTGTCCCTGGCCCTCGTTTATGCATCTCATGACACCCCTCCTTGTGTCCTGAATCTGAGTACTAACCAGAAAAAGCAGGTGGCCCTCTCAAGACCTAAAACATCGGTAACTTCCAAAACTTATTGGTTACCAGTCCTTTATGTTTTAGCTTTAATTTATTTTAATTTTCATTATGATGTGACATGCCACAGTTGGTGGCTATCTTATTGCTTGAGTTGTGTCATACAGGTGAGGTGTTGCACATTTTGTTACCGGAAAACAAATCGATACCTTTTCCTCGGAGAAGAAGGTCTTCGTGTCACTGCTTGGGATGTGGAAGCATCATGTGTGAAACGATTGTATACCGTGAGTCTCCTTCATTATACAGTTACAGATCAAGCCCCATTCAACATTTAATTTCTGAAGTGTACAAACTCAGCCTGATTTGAGTGTAGCTATAGGCCCTTGTTACTTAGGAGCACATTTGATCTAAGTGAATATAGAAGAAATGATATTCAGGAAGTTTACAAAAGAAAAGGGAAGTAGAAAAGGTCAAAATGCAAACTAATTTTTGCTTTTTCTCTGTTGCAGAATTTTCAAGGAAAACTTTAGTTTTTTTAATACTTTTTACTGGATCAAAATATGCAAGAAGCAGGGCCAGTTTATCGGGGGGGCAAAGGGGGCTGTTGCCCGGGGCCCCTCTCTTCCTCGGCCTCACAACTTCTTAATCCAGCCCTGGCAAGAAGCTCCATTAAATAGATATTATTAAAAGAATAATATTTGCTTCTGCAGAAGAAGTAAGATTAAAATGGGAAATGAATCTAAGAGCAATTATTTCATGCTGTTATCTCAGACTGGATATTGTTTACTGGAATGCTTTGGTGATAACCCTAATTAAACTTGGCAGGGGCTGCCTAGTGAGCCAGTGAAGTTGGCCATGAACTTTGAGGACACCCAGATTGCAGTGGGATGTGGAGGTGGTCAGATTGCTATCTATGACATCGTGTCGGGTGCCCTTGCGCCCTTCTTGGTCATCCCTGGGTCTCAGGTTAGCCTCAGTTCCTAAATGCTCCTGTTTTCTGTTTCTTATTGAAGCCCATTTTGACTTATTCTCAGCCTGCAATCAGAGTGTCACAGAATTATCCAATTACCCAAGTCTTCAATGGAAGGTTTAGTTCAAGAAGTAGCAGGCATCTTATTAACAATAAAGAAATGGGATGTTATTAACCGCCGACCTATCTATCACGTGCATCCCATACATGTGGTAAGTCTAGATTGAGTGGAAAAAATGCAACCACATGAGAAGAGGTTTTGTAAAAATTGTGGAAGCATTTTTTCTGTATCATTTATGTCTTAGAAGCATTCTGAAGATAAATGCAATGATCAGATGTTAAGAAGCTTTCTGTGGAGGCAGGCACTCATGTGCCTCATAGGATAGAAGTGTAATACTTCCATTTTCTAGTCCCATAAGAATTTAAAATCTCAAACTACTATCTGGTGAGTGTCAAGAAGCAAGAAAAATTTCAGTGTTCCAGGTTTGAAGCACCATAAGTATGACAGTGCTCACTTTATAATGAGTCTAGGATGTCATGTATGATTTGCCATGAATAATTTGTCATTTCAGGGGGTGAATGATGTCAAGTTTGGAGGGAGGTCATGCCAGTCACTTCTGGGGAGCACATATGATTATGGTCATGTTGCCATTTGGGATGCAGCGACCTCCAAACTCCGTCACCAGTTTTCTGGGATTCATGTTGCTCCTGCAATGGGCCTTGCCTTCTCTCCCATCAATGACATTCTCATGGCGAGTGTTGGTCTGGACCGAAAGCTCGCTCTCCTTGATCCCTCATCAGCAAAGTCTGCTTCCCTTCCTATTGAGTTTAAGTTTTTAGTGTGTGATGTTCAAGATTGCATTAGTGTGTTCTTCTCAAAAGGGAGGTGAAGGCTGTGACCCTGGATTCCCCCTTGACCTGTGTGGACTTCCACAGAAATGGGTTCATCTTGGGAGTTGGAAATCAGGACGGGGAGGTTATCGTGTTCGACCTGAGGAACCTCCGGACCCCAGTTGCCAAGGGGGCAGCACTGTCATCTGCTGATCCACCTGAACCTCTCAATGGGATTTCCTTCTTTCAAGCCAGGTCCCAGGTCTCGAGTCCGACGCGCTCGTCCAAGAGCCCCATACGCTCGTCCAAAAAGGTGCCTAGCTCCCACTTTCCCGAAGATGGAATGGTGTTTTTGTGAATACAGCATGGTGTTATTGACCAGTAGCAGTATTACTGGTAATAGGCATAATATCACCAATCGGAGCCTCTTTTTTGAATGAAAATTTGAAAGATATTTAATATACTCTGGACTTATATGGATCCTCTTGCATCATGGCACCATGCTCATGTATGGATGTTTTCTGGTTACATCGAGATCCTTAAGTCCATATTCTGGATACTTTTCTTTCTCATGGGGTAATTTCATGTCGTCAATAATTTTTAAAGCAAAACCCTTCACCTCTCATTACTAAGTAGTACCTCTTATTACCAGCTTCATGTTGAGCAGACATATTAAACAAATGCTTTATCAGTTTATTTTTTTATTTTGGTGTTTGGCAATTTCCATGCAGGAAAATCAGCTTGTGAAAGCTTTGACTCTTCAAAAGCCTGGCCCTTGATGACCAAGAAGGCAGTAATTAGTGAGATCATTACTCAGGACTGAAAATTACTGAAGTGAGATGACAATACATCCACTTGTGACAGCAGTGATTCCTGGAAGTTGATGCTGTATTTTCACAGAGAAAAGGGAGTGTGACTGCAACCAATGATGCAGAACCCCATGTCTACGCCCAGCCCCAGACTCTCTCCTCAAGTCATTCCAACCCCGTACCTGATTCCTTCTTTTCTTCTGCTCCCTCCATCTCTCCTACCTCCATTCCGCATGCCGGTAAGTGGGATGCATGGTCAGGCTCAGCTAGATTTTCATTCCTTCCATTCCTTTTGTATGAGCTAACTTCATCGCATTGGGAGGAATGGACTTGCAAGAATATTTGCTGAGTTATGTTTTCTTCTTGTTAGCATAGCAATATTTAAATGGGTTTGAATTGCTTTGAATTAAAAATATTCCATTAATAATGATCAACTAGAGTGTGTGGTGGTTTTTCTTTTAGTCATGATGCAGTAAAAGGAAAACATGAAAACAGGAAATTCTAAATTTATTTGGTGGAATGCTTCTCCCTCTGTGGGAAGAACCCAAAGAAATTTACCTTTGAGGTCTGACCACATGAAATGCACCCAAAAACTATTTTGACAGGAAGGACAAGGGAAGGACCAATTGGAGCCAACCTCCAGGGCTCCGAACGTGCCGACACGAGTGCCGAGGACGAGGAGACCGACTCCAAGGGCAACCCTGTGGCCCAAGGATTTGTGGATCAGTTCGTGCAGCAGTGTGTTGTTGACCAGCTCGTCCCCTACCTGGAGGACAGCTTCCTCAGCCTCCGTGGGGACCTTGCAAAGTGGATGCTTCAGGATAAGGTCGTCTGAAAATCACTTTTAGTTGTTCTGTGGTTCATCCTGCATAAATTTGAGTTGCTTCCTGGTGTGGACCAGATTTATTTAAGTTAAATTTTGTCAAAGTATTGTGGGTTTTTCTTGAAAATCAATTTATCTGTCATGCTTACTCTGTGCAAGTGAATGAAATTAAGTGTGCATTTCAGCCATCACATGCTTATTTTTGTATATTTGGTCACTTTCACTCCCCACATTTATACCAATGGTTAATTTTCCCTTTTGAAAAAGTTTGATGGGTTTCTCATATATATCTGTACAGGATGAGCTGAAGCGGGAAATTGATCATCTCCGTGCGGAAGTGAGGAGTCTCCGAGAACAACTCTCATGTGAGTGAAAGCCAAATCCCTCATCATGTGCACTCCTCTGTATTGGTGTGAAACAGACAAGGACACATGCGATTGCCAAAAAGAGATTCAGAAAAAGAAGACAGTTAGGGGAAAGCTAGAGACAGACACTTTATTCGTGCCATGATTTTACCCGCTTCCAGGGCTTTTCATCTGTAGGACTTCTTGATTAGTGTCTTGCACAGCCGAAATTGGGATGTTTCTTTTGTAGATTGTGATTTTTGTCATGAGAATTCAAAAGCATCTAAGTTATCATTTCATCAGGTTGCCACTCGGTTATTTGAACTCGTTCATTTAAGTAGACGTGTCTTTGCAAAATTCCAAATCTCAACCTTGCCAAAGGTGTACAAAATATATATCATTTTCTTTTAAGGAGACTTGGAAGTAAAAATGCATGCAGTAAAAAAATGCCTAGCCCTTGCTTTTCCCCAAGAACGTCCGAGAGAAACTTTGACAGCACGGATGCCACAAGCGAGGAATCACAGAAATGGAATCGCCGGGAGATTTTCCTTGTCCTTCCCGCCCCCCTTGCCTGACCGGGCTGGCGATGTGGGGGAGTTGCTCTGAAACATTAATTTAAAAAATCACATCAGTGGCGAGAAATGGAGAGTTGGCTACATCCTACAGGAAGAAGAGTCAGCAGGAGAATGTTGATCAAAATCGCTTTTTCAGGAGTTGGGGTGGATTAATAATCAAGCAATCTTTCCAGATATTTGCAATCAGTAGTTGAGGCAAACTGAGAGGGTATTTGAAAAATAGAATTCAAAAGATGAAAAATTCAATGATCTTGGGTAAAATGGTTCAGATTCAACTCAACTCTCAAATAATCTAGTCTTTTTTTTTTATATTGAGAGAATGTGCTTTTTTTGTGCCAGGTTGCATATCCTTAATTCAACTTGTTCATTTCAAATGTCACCATTCATATTCATGCTTTAAGTGTATTTGTGTCCATTGAGGTCTCATATGCAACAAATTTACTAGAATGTCAGCTTTGGTATACCTCTAACTTGTGTGCACTCCAAGTGTCAGCTTCTTAATGCTGGTACTATGGTTCTGTGATGAGTGTGCCTTCATGAATGCATGAAATTTGAAACTCTAATGTGTGAATATCAGTCAAATCTGATTCATTTGCACATTTAAGAGGGAAGAAGAGGTTTGACTTGACTCTGAAATGATTCACATTGATACCAGCATTGTACTTTTTTAAATTTGCCATGAAGGTGTTCGTACAATTCCCATTATAGACTTTGTCATTTTGGTTAACAGATTTTCTACCCTGGCATCAACATTTCTGATGACAGTTGAGTTTAAAGACTATCGAGCTAGAGATACTATTGTATGTTGGCATACCTTACTGGATTTGGGGGAAAGGCTCTCGATGGTGGAGACACTTGATACAGTTGGGACGAGCGTGGGTCGCTTCTTGTTCAGGCTGCGCCTCGTGAGAGCAGGGAGGTGGCTGGGTAGCCCTGGGTTCCTCCATGGCTGGGGCAGCTGCTTCTTCACGCTTTCCAAGTAGGGGGACCCCTTCACTATGCGTCTTCCGAGCCTGCGAAGTGTTTTTCTTTTAATGCCATTCTTTCTGTGGGGTTTGGGTGGGATGTTGGAGCTGAGCCAAGCTAGTGAGATTGAGGCTAGCTGAGAATGGGTTGGGGATTTGTGCAACTGGAGCATAAATGCCGTCAGGGTTCTACTTGCTACTGAATTTGCCTCGGTAACCTACCTGGCTGTGAGTTCCTGGTCGTGAATGTGGTGAGCTTGAGGGAGTTGCAAGGCACTACTTGGCTTTGATCCTGAGCCAGATCTGGACATAAGTCCCAGTCCATGCCACTTCCTGCTCCCATCTCCTGATCTGCTTTTGGGGGAAAATTTTTAAAATTCAAATCTCTTCTTCAGCCTGTTGGGTTTTCGTTTCGTATCATGCGAGGGTCCAACCTGCGTGACTTCTTGAGGAGAGGGTTGGAGAGGAACTCGTGAGCGAGTTTTTGTTTTAGAACGGGAAGGAACTGTTCTGGAAACCCGTCCCGTGTGAAGTAGGCGTGGTGGACGAGGGCATCGCACAGAGGGCGCGCGGAGGGGTCCATGGTCAGGCAGGCCTTGAGGAAGCGGAAGCTGGTCACCTCCATCCCCGGGAGGAGGGACTCCAGGCTGCTGTCCTTGGCGCCGGGCCGCATCTTGAGGCCGAGGAAGGCTGGGTTGCCACGCAGGAGGTCTTGGTGCCGCTCGCATACTCTTCCTGCGAAGGGGGGAGCGTCGTGGAGGTCATTTTCTTAATTTCCTGTTTCGTGTGAGGCCGTGAATTCGATCTGGGGGTGCAGGGAGCCGTAGTGAGGTAGGGTGGGGCGTGAATCTCACCGAGGGCTTGTACGATGAGGAACAACTGGTCGATGTCCGATTCGCCTGGGAATAGGGGCTCTCCCGTCGTCATCTCTGCAAATAGGCACCCCACCGCCCATACGTCCACCTCCCTATGGATAATTGGTTTGTATGTTTTAATAATTGCATGGTATGCAGGGTGGAGCTTTTTTTTTTGGCCCTCACGGTCCGTATTTGGTATCTCCGACGAGGAGCTCGGGTCCACGGTACCACCGTGTGGCCACGTACTCCGTGCACGATTCCCCCGGTTTTGGGAAGAGTCGGGCAAATCCGAAATCGCAGAGTTTTAAGACGCCACTCTTTGACACCAGGACGTTCTCGGGCTTCACGTCTCGGTGGATCACCTATAGCATGGGTGGAGTTGAGGATGATATTTTTGTGGTAGGAGGAGAGTAGGAGTAATTAGGCCCCATATGCGGGATCGATAGGGGATATTGGGTGGAGGTAGGTCATGCATGATGAAACTAGCAGGCACCGATTTTAAGAAAGGAGGTCATGGGTGGGACCGGGAGGGTCTTATGCATAGCGAGACCAGCGAGTGAAGGTAAGAGGTCTTACGCGTTGGGCGTGGCAGTAGGCCAGGGCGCGGAGGATCTGCCAGGAATACTCGCGGACGCTGTTTGGCGGGATCCCGTGCGGCTGGTTCTCCAGCTCCTCCAGGATGGTGTGGTCCACGTACTCGAGGACGAGGTGGAGCCGCTTCCGCCGGCGGAACACCTCCAGGACGTTCACCAGGTTCTCGTGCTCCAGTCGCTGTTGGGGGAGGGGCGGGCCTCGGGGTTAGGGCTAGATTTCTTACACGGGACTCCTCGACCTCGATCGCTGCTATGCTTGCTTCATAAGTCAATGCAGGGAGACCCAAAGACATGTATCGCACTTTGAACTGAAATAACTCTTCTAAGGAAGAACCTGTTTGCTTTTGTACCAAGGAAAAAATATATAATAATAAAGAAACAACTATGGTGACGTGTGACACGGTATGACACGTGACAGATATACAAGCTGTCAATCTTCTTGTATGCGTATTTACAGTCGATCTCTGTCTCGGACACGGTTTGCCAAAGATAAAAATAATTTTTGAAAGACGAGAATTTTTTAAGTCATGAAATTATTTGTCGAATGAAACATTGTTATATTTTGATATTGCCCAGTATTAATTGAGTTTAAGTTCGAACTATTGCCATAGTTTTTGATCTCTCGGCATAGCGAACTCGTTTATGGGGGAAAATATCCAAACGGGTAGTCAGTTGTTTTGATTATCTCCCTTTTTTATGTAGTGCAACAGAACTGCGGTAAATCCATCAGGGAAAGATCTGTGACTGCGATGTTACTTCTCGTGCATTCACACTTCTCTTTAGTAATTTCTCAGCATTTTAAAAGTTATTTAATGATATAATATTGTCATTGAGTCTTGGTAACTTGTTAATAGCAATTATACATGTGTTCTGGTAGGTCTACATATCCGGTTGAATCTGAAGGGGGAGGGGGGGGGGGAGCGAGTGAGGAGACTTGAATCCTCAGGCGGGAACCATCGTGTTTGGTTCGGCTTTATCAATCGGGGAATTTTCAGATAATCGATCCGGAGTCTACCGAAGCCGAGAATAGCTTAGAACGGCTTGGACGAGGTGACTGACCTTGAGCATTTTGATTTCACGGAGGGCGATCTTGCGGACGAGTTTGTCTTCCTCGCTGTCGAGGAATTTCTTGATGGCGACCAGCTGGCCGGTGTCCCGGTGACGACATTTGAGCACGATCCCGTAGGATCCCTCGCCGATCACGCCCAGCTTGTCGTACTTATCCATGGTGATGGCGACCGCGAGACCGCGTTCGAGTGAACTCGTCCATGACCCGGCTTGCGGTGTGACTCAGCGCGAGGTGGAACATCCCTGGAAATGCGGTGCGGGAGGGAGGAGTGGGGGGGGGGAGGTGGGGAAGCCGTGCCGGAACTCGAGTGGAGGGGAAGGTACGGCGTAGTAGAGGCCTCTGCGGGTGGGTTCCGATCGATGCCCGTTGCCCGAGTGAGTTGCCGTTGTGCGTTGTCGCGGCATGGTGCTGGGACGCGTAGTGGTCTGTAAAGTGCTTCTTGAATTCCTTTCTCGTGAGTGAGTTGTTTCGCGAGTCTTCCATGTCTCGTGTCATACCGAACCGCAGATATTGAGCACGTTCAGGGCTCTACTGACCGATTCGCACGCCATGGCTTCCCCACCCGATCGATCGTCTCCATGATACCATGGGGGTAATGAATAGCTTATTCCTGGATCGAACACGGGCCCCCATGTACTGTCACGGTTTTGTGGAATCCTTCCTCTGGTTTTTTTTTATTTCCCTTATTTGTGAGCTTCTATTCCTGAAGTTGCAAGTCATGATTGGTTTCGGGGATTGCTTTAAACTCAAGCAGTATGATGGCAAAACAATAAAAGCGCAATTACGCAGGCCATCATTATCAAGTCCAGGTAACAAAATCGGTTTGTGCGATTTTTCTGCTAAAAGTTGTTAATGAAAATAGTGAACATTTCAGCCGGAATATCACTCGGGGTTCCATTCTGACGTAACGAGGAATTCCGCCATTATCGGGAGGCGGTGTCGTTGGAACGTTCAGGGCAGTCACGAGTTCGGTCGATCAATGAGGCGGTCATTAGTTACTCATGCTGTCATGTAGTCGAACCGCTCTCGTCCGTCAAGCTTGCCTCGCGTGATCACAAAAGTTATTCCTTCGAGGGCTCTGAACTGGACTCACACGACATGACAAAGTCGTGAGTCCGGTTCAGAGCGATTAAGTCCGGTCGGGTCCGGCGGTCCTTTTGCTCAGGGTCCGTTTTGCTTGGATAAGTCCTTATCGTTCCTATGTCGCAGTAACAAGCTGGGTCTCCCATACGCATTAGATATTGCTCAGCCAGGTGCATATTTTTTTCCGAAAATGTCACATCTGATGAGTTTGGGTTTCATGGACTTGAGTCTTTTTTTTCGCTGACGGAAGTAGAGTAGCCTTGGATGATGATAGTCATTTGCCTCGCCTGACATAATAGACAGCGTACTGTTAATCGATACCTATCATTCATCTATGAAGTGCAACGAACTGGAAAAGGGTACTTGTCGTGACGGGGTGCGGGCAGAGCCACCTGTCTTACATGTGGGAGTGTGGGGGAAGTCCTACAATGGCCACAAGATGTCAGGACCTTCGTTTATGAAAGGAGAAATGCTATTTCTGTATCATGAATCCTTTCGAGACTCCAAACCGTTTTTGTTTCAGCGGAATCAACTACAGAGGGACCACTTGTTTCTAAACTTATCCCCCCCCCCCTCAATTTTTATTATGTCGATAGTTAGATAGTAGATATGTCGATAGAAGGTAGGCGTCGCATGTGATCGAAGTGATTAGTTATAGTGGAACTGGAAAAGAAAACCTTTTTTTATTCTCGAGGAAGGAAGAAATACCCCAGAGATTTCGCTCTGTTCGATGGTCTTTCCTCTGGAGAAGAGCCATCAGTGTTGAGAAGGTCAGCGATCGGCTGGACGATCGTGAAAGGACACACATTTTTCCAGCTTTTTGGTTTTGTCACTTTATTTCATGGATCAGGCATGCAGTGAAAGGGAAGAAGAAAGGTTCTAGTTAGGCCAACTCGCCAAGGTGACGGATTTTGACGTCGACCCTGTGGATGTTGGAGAAGCTGAGGAAGGTGTCCTCGCACACGATCTTGCGGTCGAAGGGGAAGCCCATGGGCCTGGCGTCCGGGTACTTCTGGCCGAGGATCCCGCAGTAGCTCATGGATCCGCCGTGGTCGTCGTCGCGGATGTCCACACCTTCCACCTGGGAAGGAGTAGCATGTTGAGGTTAGGGTAGGGATGTAAAGTCTCGGAGTGTGGAGATAGAGCATGAAAATCTATAGCGTTAAGAAGTGCAGGCTCTCCTTGTTGCCTTTCACGTCAACAGCAAACCATCTATGGTGACCTATATAACCTGAAACGATTTGCTTCATGACCTCGCGAATATCTAGAGTGGCATGAATTGGTAGTAGACCCATGCCTTCCATAGCCCGACAACTCTACTACGAATCTTTGACAGCCGGTAATGGGTCCTCCGTTAGGTTTATGACATTGTCTGGTCATTATGCGGCAAATGAGCCATTATTACCCTTATTTATTATGTATTGTGGTGCTTGACGAGTAGAAAAGACTCACGGCATCTTGGTCGTGGTTTGTGACTGCCACCCACAATTCGAAGTCCAAACCGTGCTCGTTACCCTTTGGAATGAGAAGCCTGTCGGGCAGACCACAGTGTCGATGGTCCTGTAATATTAGGAGAAAAGACAATCAATAGATTCCACAGTGATTAATAGGTGAGAGCGTGAGTCCCGAGAATTTAGCTGGGTGTGAAGTGATTGTACCTCGTCGATCTTGAAGTCCCCGTTGCCGTTGATGGCCTCCTCCGTGTCGTGGAGGAGTTTCTTGAAGCTGGGGGGGTCGGGGATTGTGACGGAAGAGTCGGAGGACTTGCGGACGATCGTGTTCTTCCCCGACGAAACCTTGGTGACGAACTTATCCAGCTCGATCGCGCTCCATCGCTTCTCGTCGATGCTGAGTGGCTCCCCTGAGCTTTCCCGCTTGGGGACGAGGAAGACGCGGACCGTGACGGTGTGCGCTGCGTCGCTCGTCACGTCGATGGAGTACTTGAACGTGTGGTGGTTCAAGCGCTTCACCCTGGCCTGTTTCAAACGGTTTCAGGTTGACCTTGATCAAGTCTTTCCCGTCGACTTCATCGATGGAATTTAAGATTATGGGTGAGACGTTCTGGTTAACTTCTAACAATCGATCTCGTTAATTTCGGAAAATAACAATGCGACTAATGACTAAAGACAAAGGACGTTGAGGAAATGGATTTCTGAGGCTGCTAAACTGTTTCAAACAATTTTTTTTTTACAATTATGTACCATAAATGTTTTATGATGATAGTCGTAGTGAAGGATCATAGCATGGCAGGGTAAGATTGATCAAATCTAATGGTAAGATAAATGAACTTCATGGAGCCTATGGAAGAATGTTTTTAGAAGGTGAAAGGATGTCGAGGGGAAGAAGAAAAAAGCATGCATACCTTGATTTCACGGTCATCCTTCCCCTCAATATGGTCCAGGGCATTGTTAAGGTCCACCTCGAAGTAATCGAAGAGCGTCTGCAACTCGTTCGCGGCCCCGTTGCTCTCCACCGTCACATCCTCCACTGTCACCCCAGGGAACTCGATCTGAAGGGAATCCCGAAGTCATGGGTTTTGATTTCTGCTCTGCCATTTAAAAAAATAGATTTTCCGTTCTATTTCCCACCTCCTCGCGGGGGTAGGGTCCGAGGTTGTCCTTGTAGGCCTTGAAGATGTCGTCCAGGTACTTGTGCAACCGGAAGAAGGTTGGGTCGCGGGTTGCAGTCTCGAAGTGTTCCATCACACCTGGTGGCAACTAAAATGGGAATAATTAATATGTTCTAGTCATTTCCAGTCAACAGGCGATGGATAGCTAATTGATAAGTTCTCATTTCCACTGAGGTAAAACCCTCGTGATTCCATGCGATGATGAAACGAACTTTTATACAGTATAGTGATTTGCCAAAATAATATCGTGTGACAGCTCTATTAGAGAAGGTTTTTGGTGGTTTTCGCCTTTTGGGATACCTACACCGTAACGTCCATCAGGGTCGCCGATACGAGCGAGGAAGACGTGGAAGAGGTTGTGGATGGACCCGTAGAATGCCAGGTTGGGGGTGTTCTCGTTCGCCTCTACCATGTTCCCCAAGATATCGATTCCCTCTGATGAGTTCAGGCTGACTGGTCCATTGGGCTAGGTGGAATAATAACAAAGTTACAAGCACAGTTTTGGATTAGTAAGACCTATCAACGAGTCCTCTTTAAAATGGATGCTGAAAGCAGAGTCACAATGAGACCGTAGGGGAATAGGCTTGACTAACGAGTACAAAGGCGGGAGAACGAGGTTTAGCATGGAAAGTTGCGGTGGAGGTCAGTAATGAGGCAAGTTGTGGGAGTTATGGCGGGGTTAGATGTTAGTGACGGTCGTGATTTCATTGGCCACCTTTATCATCCGTAGCCAAAGCCGCGAACTTGGCGAAGATTCAAATAACTGATAGCTCTTGGACAATATTTCCTGGAAAACATTTCGATCCGGGCGTTGTGCATTAGTTTTTCATGAGTTTTTCTCTATTTATTGTTGAACTATAAAAGAATTACAGTTCAGTCAGAACTAAGAGGGTAGCAAATGAATGTCTTCTTTGTTAATGAAAATAGGAAGAAGAGATGAGTGAACCTACTCCGTATGCCTTGAGTTTGTCAACGGCATTTCTGATCCTGCTCTCGTATCGGGTCATCTGGTCTCGCGTCATGAACGGGAGGTCCAGGAAGTGCATGTCGTCTGGTCGAGATGGGAATTCCCCTTCCTCGTAGTAGGACATGTGCGGAGCAAATCCTTCCTGTTCGATGCAAGGACTTTTTATAATATCGGAGGGTATCAACTGATACGATGCTCTATGAACGAACTATCCATGCATATTGCTAATTGATAGATATTATAAACATGTTTTTCTCTTCATTCAAAGTGGACAAGGTGAACTTTCATGATACTTCGGACGTCGACCATCCAATGAGACTGGTCTTGAAATAAGAGAGAAATACACGCGACTTTCAGTCTCGTATTCCTCTCCTTTTTAATTTTAAATTCAGTAGTGACGTATATGAAGCATTTTCAACTAACGTGAATGGTTTTGTCCCAGCCAATGGCTTCAACCCGAGGGAGGTTGTTACTCAGCCTCTCGGCATCAAATCTGGAATGAAATGACCGGAAATGTTCATGAGGTCCAATGGGAATAGGATACATACTTTTTTTTTTCCTGTGGTGATATATGCTTTGCCTACCGAGCATTGAGTTGGTGGTGCATGTAGAAAAAGAGTTCCCCCTTGCGGTCCTTGTGGCCCCATTCGTCCCGCCACCAGAAGGGGAAGTCCGCGTGCCAGTGGTGATGGTGGTTGTTGAGCCCGATGTCCTCGCCGAAGTAGGCCACTCGCTGCTCGAGGTTCTTCAGCGTTCCTGTGAAGGTGGCCTCGATCGTCGCGTCCTCCTGCTGCATTTGTGCTCTATAAGACAGAAACCGCAGTGCGTGAATGGGGGGCAATTCTGCTAGATGGAGGATTGGTTGATATGAACAAGCTTCCGTTCTGCTCCACAAAAATCTTTGCTCCCTGAAGTTATAAATTATGAATATGTGAGAGTGAACGCGAGTTTACGGTCCGTGATAGGCATCGGGACACTCGCTATTCTTTTGTCAAGAGCTGAATGGTACTGGATCTCAGTTCTGACGCTGAATTCAGGTGAATTTACCGGTAGGCCTGTCGGATGGTGGTGGTCGGGAAGAAGAAGTGCGGGTTGATTTCGTAGAGGGGAGGGAGCTGGATCCCCTTCAGATCTTGTCGGGTGAGGACAGCCATGGTGAGGGCGTAGACGAACATTCCTTCGTTTGCCTTAACTCGCGCCCTTGACGCCGTCTTGTAGAAGGTGTCCCAGTCCTTGGCCGCTGCGCAGCAATCATATTTATGTTAAATGTATTTTCGGAGAGCGTATTGCCAATGACCGAGGACAAGTTAAAAGACAGAAAGCGAAAAGAAAAACTAAGATTATAAGTTGACTTCTTGCACTTCAAGAATCGGGCATGATTCTGGACATTTTAGAAGTGTGTTTCATTAAGTTTCCATAAGTTATTTTGGATGTGTTAAGGAAACTTGTTGAACGTACATTTGAGAATCTTGAACAGGAGGATCATCTGCCTTCGGTGCTCGGGATCGAAGAGGGAGAAGTAATGATGTCGGGGAAGAAGCTTTCCAGCCTTCGCCATCTCGATCAACTCCTTCACGCTCTCCTGGTCCTTTTAGACGGGAAAAAAATACAATTTTACTGTGTTATGGGGGATGTGGGTTCGACCCGAAAGAGGTGGATATATTTACGTCGTAGTTGCTGAGGTTTTCGGCGAGCACGTAGGACTCGCCAATCTCTCGTCCCTGCTTGTCTGCATTTTTGTCGTGGATCTTCTCCAGCATGAGGAGGATCTTGTGCTGTCTATCCAGCAAGTCCGCTTGCGTTGCTGGAAACCCCGACCGAGAAGAAGAAAGAAAATGTTAAGCGTTTTTGTTTTCCGGAGCCTACATGACCAGACCGCGATCGATTGTATATCCCACGAAGCCAGTACGTCTCTATAGTTTTTTGGAGAACTTAACCTCTTATTCCCATATCCACGTATGGAGTTTATGGATTACATTGTAATAAAATACAGCAGTAAAAAATAGTCCGAAGATGTGGTTTCTCATCCAAAGTCAATGTAATAACGGGATATTGCTTGTATGTACGGCAGCAGTGAACCGATGAAGATTAAGATCTTCAATGGTGTATACATTTATTTTGTCAGAGCCTGCAGGGTCGAAAGATTCTACCAAGATTCCAAAGGCATTAGTGGAGACTTTTAGTTTCTTTATTTGCCGGAGGAGTCGTAAGTGCCTCTATTTCTCCTCTTTTCGAAATACAACCTTGACAGGAGTCCTAGGAAGTTTCGACAAATATCCAGGTGAAGAGTACTCCTTAACTCAACTCTCATTCCTTTTACACTTAATCGCCCGTCTTTTCAAATGAAAGACCTGGCAGCACATCAATGTGCAACATACTTTTTTTTATTGTTCCATATATTCCATAATTCCATGAGAAAATCGTTACTTATCTTTAAGTGTTCAATTTTATACATGTAGGGCTTATAGCAGGAACTCACAGCCAGAGGAGTGATCATTCTGGAAGATGTTAATACTCCAGGCGTGGGCCAATGTAAGGCCGAGGATGAGGGGGAGAAGGCGGTGCACTAGGGATGCCATAGCCGAGGTGAAGGCGAATCACCGGTCGGATGATCGCCTTGGGAGCGTCAGTGATAAGAGTCACAGTCACGCTTTCCCTCGGCAAAGGTCCTTATTTTTATACTCGATCCAGTGGAACAGAGTGCAAAAGTACTCCCCTCCCATCCTAAGTGCCCACCCCTTGGGTTTCGGGATGGTTACCTGACATGGATCAGGTACCAAGTGCAAGAGGTTCACTTGTTACTCGAACTCCGCCCTCCGACCTTGGCTCCCCAGCCAATGAGGTTTTCTTTCCAGTCTTTTACAGATTTTTTTTTAAATAGGTGGTTCAGTTAAAGTAGGAATCAGGGTCTCAGGATTTTCTGGCTTATCTCCCCCACTACAGAGTAAAGAAAGGTGAATGTGAGGGGTGTCAGGTCGACCCCATTTCGATTCTTCTATGGACCGATTGGGAATGTTAGGATTTCTCTCGTAGGAATGAGCCTTTTGATTGCGGGAGATGCATGGCATTATACAGTATAAACTTTGTTTCCCCAACCGTTGTCATAGAAGATTCTTAAATTACTGCGGCAGTTCTGTGAAGATGCCTCGAATGATCTTGATTTCTACAGATCTGATGTTCATTCAAATGTCGTAAATCGTGTTATTGATGCCGTCCCATTTTGGCGTGTTTGTGTTATATTCAGACTAGAAGGGCTGATGCGGCTCTGCTTCAATTGGATACACCTAAGGAGTCTGTTAGCTTAGAGCTTAGGCCACGATTCACTTCCGCTTTCGGACCGCTTTCTTGTTGATTATGGCCGATGCATTGACTCATTCTTGACAGCAAATCGCCTGATGAGGGATATACGTCCAGATTCGAGGATTCTAGCCATAACATATTTACGGCATATTCATTTCTTCAGCGCAGTTTTTCCCCCTGGAATATGGAATGTTAAATGTGCCTCTGCGAACCTAATTAAATGCTTATATGAAACGCGAATAATTACATGTTCCTTTTTTGATATTGCAAATTCCGTTGAAGTACGTATGACTCAAATTTTCACTTTAGAAGCAAGAACAATATCGTTATCCCCTGACAATATAGTGCGATGAAAACTGAACTCCCCGTTCGATCGATTTTTTTTTGACAGAAATTCGGCGTGAGACCTTCATGGTTTTGCTCGGAAAAAGAGGGGAACGTGATGAGAAAAATAAACATTTCTCCTCTTTCCGTAAACAAGTACACATATTGGAGTGGGACACGAGATAAAACGTGCTTGCTGTGAAGGCTGCGGCACCTCAGATCTCTTGTCAACTTTTCTGAAAGGTGGCCCCAGGAAAATGATTACGTTTCCCCCCCAGGTACTCCATGCATTGTGCTCAGGACAGGAACACTCTACCGAGCTATTTTATTTTCATAAGAATTATGCAGTCTACAAGGCTTTGAATTTATCAGATTTTCGCAAATGGCCCTGACAAGTAAATCCATTTTCGGCATTCGTTCTAGTCTGACTCCATATGCTATCGCCCATTGTGCAGTGTTCGTTGGAGTCACGTGTGTGGCTGTATCAGAATGACGCTGTACTGTTTCTTCAAACTCGAGGAAAATTTTGCTACCTCGAAATGATGTGGCACGTTTCACTCACGCACACACTTATTCTCTCTCGCCCTCTCTCTCTCTCTAGCAGAAGAGCCAGATTTAAGTACGCTATCCATGGGCTCTTCCTGTTGATTACCTCAACCACAAAAAAAACAACGCCTGGTGATGTGGAAAAGGAGTTTGCAATTCCTATATTCGCAGTCCAATCAATTTCCAGTACTTTTCAGTTGTCAAATATGTTGGCGGCCATACTTTCTAAATGGCAAATATTTATTCCCCTCTCAAAAAGTTTTAGACACTGTTTAATGACATATCACGTCAGCCCAGAATATTTTTCTTTTTCCTCATTTATGAACGGCTTTTCTCGTGTGAAGCCGACCTTTCGATGCTGCTTCTTACGTGGACTCAATTGGACTTCTTATTCGAAGTTTGTCAACGGTCCAGATTCATTCGATATGAATTTTAAGAAAGGCTGTTGATCTCATGCTGTTAACGAAGGACTTGGTTAGAAAATACTATTGTTCATTCGGCTACAATGAAAATTTGGTTTGTGGTGTAGTTTATTAGAAACTTAGAATGAATAAGTTTGACAGAACTTTAATGAGGATAATTTTACGTATAGAAACCTCCCATTCAGCGAGTTGAAACTGAGAAAAATAATAGGAGAGGAGGGAGTATGCCGTCCCAAAGGCTGAACGCTTGACAAAAGAAGAAAGGGAAACCCGGCTGGCACTGAGGTTGAATCCCTGCCTCCTAGCTCATAGACGGGCGCTCAGCCGCTGGGTCATGTCGCCAACTACAGAAAGAGGTATAAATGGCAAATGGACGATGTAGCTGACATCAAACCGGTTTCTCTATTGCATAGACTAGGATATAGAGAAATACGCTCTTCGCCGTAGAGCGTAACTAGGTGGATGGGTGGGGAACCAAATCTTTTTTTCTCTTTTTATGTTTAATTATTAGGTAGGAAATTGAACACTTCCCGTCCATTTCTTGCATTTCTCGTACATTGGCAGAATTTGGAATCCCAATTAATTACAGGAAACCTTTAGGATTGTTTCTGCCAGGTCAGGTCGTGTTGCTTGTGGAGTTGAAATTGCACCGCCGTTCGGCACAACTTTATTTCTGCCAACTTGAATTTCTCCCTACGGGATTCATTTGAGTCTTGTCACTCAGCGTCATTCGTGTAGCTTTCGTATCCTATGACTCTCGCTTCCTTATTCCTGAATTACTTTCGAATTAACTTCTGTTCGTCGCCATTTTCATTTCTTCATCCCACAGTCAACATTCTTAGTTACGGTTATTATGTCGGACACGACGGTCGGTAATTTTCTCTTGCTGATCCGAGGTTAATGACCTAATTCATGTCACCCTTGAGTAGCAAAGAAACGGGTTCAATTATCGATGTGTGAATAAATAATGGGAGAGTGAGCAAACACTGCCTCTTAGTAGCTGTCAAGTAAAATTGCAAAATAAATGGGTGAAAATGAGTAGGAAATGACGAGGCATGAATATGAAATGGTTTCCGCGTTGCCGATCCTGTTGCCAACCGAGTTTGTAGTCCATGTTCCCCCTCCTTATTTGTTCGGAGGGCCCTCTCGAAGATGCATCTCGAGTGGGAGAGTAAACACGCCACGGCGAGAGTTCAAGGTTGGCCTTCGTGGCTTTATCGCGGAAAAATATAAAGGGGGAGAACCGTCGTTGTCTCGAGTGTTGTCTGGGTCACTAGCCTTTCGAGTATGACCTCTCGAGTGGGTGACCTTCCAGTTCAGACTCGACCCCAGGCACCCGTCGTCGTTTCCTCGTTTGATAGCGGATGAAAAGGAATTTCAGGAAGTGAAGTTCACTGTATCTTTTTTCGTTTCATCATAAAGCGGATGGGCGTGTCTTTTTCTCCAGCCGCTAGCAGCTGCTAGCGAAAAAGACGCGTTGGCTAGGCACGACCACGTCATTGAATGACGTCACTCTTGGGCAAGTAGCTGGCAGCGGTACATAGCGAAATATGGGAGCGCTGAGCAGCTCAGCCCTAACATGACGTCATAGGATGCTGGAGGCCTCAGCAGAGCTAGCAGAGCCGCTGAGAAAAAAGACACGCCCGATGACTATTTGAAAAGGGTGGAGGGCAAGGGGCGATCTGTGGCGTGTACAGCATCGTATGCGTCGCCGAAATGGTTATGTTTCATGGGAGGGTTAGTGAGAAAGGCGTTGCAGATTCAAAATTACCATCGACATGGAAAATTGACTGTAATAAAGGGATAATACGATGGAAGAGTTGTATTTAGGAAACCCCTCATAGCAGACGATGCGCTCTGATATTTCCCCTATTTCCTTTGTGTATACGAGGGCTGTTCTGAAAGTTTTTAGTTAAAGAAAAAATGCCAATAATTTTATTGAATTCTATTTATTGTTTTCCAAAGTAGTCACCCCCAACACTAATACACTTATTCATTCTTTGAAACCATTTGTAAAAACAAGTTGAAAATGCTTCTTTTGGCAGGTCCTCATACAGGCTCGTGAATTCTGCGACGACTGCATCTGCACGCAAAAATGTCCTTCCCCGCATCTTGTTTTTTTTTTTATTGTAGGAAATAAAAAAGTCGCAAGGGGCTAAAAGTTGGACACCAGATTGGTGTAAAAAGTCCATCGTCCGAGCGGCACTGTGCGCCGGTGCATTGTCGCGCGGTGCGTTGTCGTGATGAAGCAGAATTCCTCGCAAGCCACAAGTGATGAATTTCAATCGCGTCAGCCGCTGTTATAGATGGATGATAAGACTTCGGCTATCTTCGGAAACGTTCTTGAATGGATTGTTCTTTCGCCTGATAATACGAATTTTTCAATTGTACTATTATTTATGACGTAACTAAGAACTTTCAGAACAGCCCTCGTATTGTTTGATTACGAATCAAAAGGGAGAAGGAACCATTTTATTATCGGATGCTGGATCCGATATGAAGATTTTTCCGCTAATGGTCGGTTTTAATCCATAGTTTACAGAGAAGGAAAGCTCATTAGCTTAAAGGTGATTTTATATTGCCTATATGAGAATTAAGCATTTGGGCGTCTGGAGAAAAGAAGTAGAAAATCCATGTGACTGAATGCATGTTTTAATTTTTTATTTTTATCAGGCGAAGATTCCTTGCTGGGGTCTCCTGCGAAGCCAGTCCATGCTCCTAGGGCATTCCCCGTGAGTTCTTTCCCCCTGTGTTTAGTCATTGTTCCTGAATGGAATCTCATAGGGAGGGGTTGTCAGCAGGACAGGGTAGAGTAAAGGGCAGACAATGGGACAGTTTGGTCGATACTCGTCTTCAAGGTCGCAAGGGGTATCACATAATCTGACTTTCATGTGATTGTCCCATTCAATAGAATGATCTAATACCATCCATGAAATTGCGTCTCTTCCCTATCCCCTATTATAAGTAAGTGATCTGGAACTTATTGGATAAAAAACTAGATAGAAATGGTTAAAAATGAGAACGTATGCATGATGCTTATGCTTGAACTCA